TTGCACGCCTAAGTGTTATGTTTTGAATGCTGTTTTTGCATTTGTTTTTACATCCAGTCCTCTCAAACGTATTACATGTAAGAAGAAATGATAAGATAGTATTTTGCTATCATCTCTGTTGAAATTTTGGTTTGTAGTCTTGAATTATAAATGCCCAAGCAAATGTGTTTTTTACTTTTTTTTTAATAGCTTTACTTGTGATTTTCTTGAATTTCCTTTGGTGACGTCTTCCAACATTTTCACAGCACATCGCATTCTGTGCGATACGAATTTTAAACACGAAAAAAGGAGGGTTTGTACTGGCTGTTTTTTCGATTTTTGCCAATGTTTGTCTTTTACCCCTGCAAAAAAACTGGTCTTATAAATTTCCCTGAAAAATGAGCTCTGACTAAAGTAAAATATTTACTACCAGTCTGCCAAATTTTACAGAATTTCACCGAAGGGAATGCGAGAAAATTCACTGTCACTTTTGCTTTTTGTGCTCATGTTGACATCATAAAATATTGAAAAATACTGATGTTTTACTTCAAGGACGCGCAGATTACTTGTCTAATGAGCTTTCGTCCTCAGTGTGCGTGCAATTGTAAAACTATAGGGAGCCAACTTAATCAGAGACTGAATATTCTATGGATGTTTTTTAACACTAAGATGCCATTAAAATTAACTACAAGTGTAATTTAATTGTACTTTTGAATATGCTGCTGGCACTCTTTTCATAATTTTGTAAAGAAAGTAAAATATTTCACCCAGTGCTCAGTAATTACTTTCCATTGTTTATTGTTTTTAATTTGCTTTTATCAATAAGAAAAATGTACAACTGTAATTTTTGAGGGCCTCCTGCGCTAGGAGGGAACAAGGGAACGTGATCATTTATTTCAAGGGAATGAGGAATATTTTTGGATTGTTTAGGGAGAAATGGGGATAGCTTTACTATTTAAGGGGACTTTGACAAAAAAAAATACAGAATAATGAAATTTATTAACAGGAAACAAGGGGGAAACAGTGAAATTTTATAATGATCAAGGGAACATGCTACCCCTCTGGGAGGCCCTCATTTTAAATTACTTAGCACATTCAAAGTTTAAACAACAACTGTTTTCTGAACTGTAGAACTTTGAAATACTTATCTTACAATTTCCATTTCAATGTTTACATTAAAAGCAAAAAATGTATATGTATTCAACTTTTCAAGTATTCCACAGTTGTGCTGTTAAAATAAATAAATGTTTGTCTTCAGTTTTCAATAACTGTACAATTAAAAATCACAAAAGTAAGAAAGATATTTCTTATGTATATAATTTTATCTTTTTCATCATAGTATTGTAAATTCCTTTATAATATAGATAGGACCCTGTGCACACTCTGATTGGTCAAAAACCCATGTTTTATCTTAGTATAAAGCATAGAAAAGCATGTTTTATTGTTTTTTTGCCACATTACCTCTATATCATTAAGCAAATGAAGAAGCCTGAGCCGTGTATTACACTGTGATAAAACACACCAGACATTTGAGAACACTAGAGAAATGTAGAAAACACTCGCCTGCAGCTGGTGTTTTCTACATTTCTCTTGTGTTCTAAAATGCCCATCGTGTTTTATCACAGTACAATACACAGCTTAGGCTTCTTTATTTGTTAACTAATTGAGGAATTTACAATACTACGATGGATTACGAATGACAATGGACTACTGTTCTTGGGTAGAGGCAGGGCTGGTTGCAACTGACAGAGTGTCTTGGAGAAGTAAAATTTCTGGACCAACTTTCCTTATCGAGAAGCGGATCTGATGATGACTGTAAATTCATTCTCTTCTTTCTAAATCTTCTTGTTCATCGTCTTATGCATGAACAGTGTCCTCTCGTAATCACAGTGCCTCATATATAGTTCAGGCTCAGGTTGGTTGAAAGGTAGATAATGCTATTCAGTGGATAAATCACTATCCAGTGGAAAGGGTGGCTTGTTTTGTCGACACTTTTCCCTGGATAGTAATTTATCTGCTGGATAGCATCATCCAGCCTTCAAACAACTGGGGCCTATTCATTAATTGCCATGAATAGCATTTGATTACTAACTATGGGCCATAATTAATTAGTTATACCGGTAATTTACATGAAACAGTAATTAATTTTCTTAAAATATTTCTTGAGTGGCCAAGGGGGAGATGACATAACTTTTTTTTCTGTAAGGGATATCATTTCAATACTTGCCTTCATTGGATTGATAACTTTTTTAGGGGCTGGGGAGGTCAAGGAAGGGGTTTAGTAATACACTTTGAAATACAATTAGCAATTTGTATGGCTCTAATTATTAGAAAAGCAAACTAATGTGAAATGGACACTGTGTAAATAAAGATTTTGTTTTATAGTTCTATATAATGTAGGCTACTTTGAGTTCTTTCTCCTCCCTATCCTTGCCATAATTCTGGAACAAGACATTATCTGCATGTGGAAATATTCCTTTAAACCATGCATACCAGAATATTTTAAGGAAATATAAAAATGCTAAAGAAACATAGTTATTTACATTTATAAAGGTATTTAAGCCACTGTCACCACAAATGAATGGCATAGATATCTTTACCACCTACTATAAACTTCTGTACACTGAGTAATAATATAATTCTGCTTTTTGTAAAAACTATTAACTCAGTGTAGGGTGGTGGTAAATCTGATGAGTATGATGGTGGTGGAGTGTTTGGTGCTGAATTGGCCTGATGAGCTGAAACACAAGGATTAAAAACATCAGAAAAAAAGTTCACAAAGAACAAAACTGCTATTAGTAATATTTAATTAAGAAATATAAGAGGGTTAGTGTACTGTACATGCTTATGCAGTCTGATGGAAACATTGCATTCTCAAATTCAACTGGCAATTGATCTGACTGAAATGTTGATCACGCACTCTTGGGAATTAAAGGCTTTTCATTCTAACAGAAATTATTACAAAATTTTGATCACAATTTAAAATTCACATTCTTATTGATTGTGCAGTCATTAAAATGGCACGATGAGGCTGTGTAAAACAGTTGTGACGTATCATTAAAATTTGTTGGTTGTGCTATATGAAAGGGAAAAACATGGCAGTTTATTACGTACATCACCTGATGAAGCATTCAAGAAGGTATGGGGAGTTTGAAAATACAATATGGAAACCTCAGGTTTGCATTATAAATTTTACCATCTATGGGTATGTTACAAACTCACAAGGTGACCAGGTCCCAGTTGGCTTGATGACTCAGTTGGTAGGGCACTGCACCTTTTTTTGTTGTTGTTGTTGTTGTTGTTTTCCAAGCTATTTCACCGCTGCTTATCAAGTTGTGTGTTTTAAACTGCAATGGTCAAGCATGTCTTTACAATATAATATCCCAACTTTTCTTTCCTGTTTGTATAAGGCTTCAAAAGATGCATACCATTTCCTACTTCTTAACTATTATTAAATAGTTATACATTCAATTACTTTGAGGTCTATGGTGTCCTGTCTCAGCATCCACTTCATCTGGTGGCATTGGAGCTCCAGGATCACCTGGACTGGGTAAATTATCTAAATCAGTCACACCAGTTACCATGACAACAAGCTTTGAATCCTCTGATGGACTGGAAATGTTTCTGTGTAAGCTAGCTGGTGGTAGTTCTTTAAGAACTGTCAATAAAAATGTTCCAAGGATTTTAGTTACGAGAACTGCAACTGTGGAACTCCCTATAGATATGGTACTAACAAAGAAATGTGTCACACCTTCACCATGCCTGTCAATCATACGTGAACTCTGCTCAAACAATGGTTGCATTTTTTGCTGCTGTCAACCATGTTGGACCTCTCAGAAAACAGATGTTCATGGCAAAAGGTTCAAAAGCTCACGTTTGAGGGTTGTGACTGATACACGTTGATTTTGATCATTTTTGTTTGTTTCTTCTTTTCAAGGTTCATTGAGTGCCATCATTATTATGCAGTCAGCAGCAGCAAAAGATGTAGTTGTTAGTTAGGTTTTCAATTTCTGAGGTCGGGTGTTACTGAAAAGCACCATAACGGTTTAATTGAGAAATTATGTCTGCTCTGACTTATGATGCATCTGTCAATGGACTTCAATGGAACATCATTAAGGAAATTATTGGGAGGCTGCTTTTCTTGCATATTGTCTTTAGTTGAGCATTCCTGGGATGAACTTGTTGTTACAAAATGTAGTTATACCCCCCATTGGTTTTTGAATTCGAACCCCCTAACTCGTGAATTGATTGACAGTCCCTTTCAAACTGAAACTTAAAACTGGACAGCCGGAAATTGCCCAAATAAAAAGCTTGCCATCAATTTTAGTTTTCCTCAAGATCTGCACCAGACTATTTCCTCATCTAACGTGATTGGGAAAGGGACACATAAGCTTACGACAAAAGCCCAATCACAATCAGTGACACGTATTCTAAAAATAAGTTTTAACTTAAGCTTAAGCTTATTTTAAGCTTAAATAGTCTATTCAGCACTTCTTATAATTATGTAAGCGTGCTTACTTCGTTCTTGCTTCTTTTTTTCGAATGAGGTAAGGATTTTGTCCAGCAAGTATTGTTGATTCGTGCATCTCTCTCTTATTGCATGGCAGAAATGGTCGAAAGCCGTGGGGCCCTTGTCACTTAAAATATCCAACATTTTTTCTCTGCTCCTCGTTCGTGTTCTTTCGGCTTTTATATCTTCCTCGTCGCGCCTATCGATCACCCTCTTGGATCGCAGATAACTCAAGGTCTTTTCATATTCTAGTTTATCAACCAACAGGTCTCTGAGCTCGATTAAAACTTCATTTTTTAAAGACCAGTATACTTCAGATTGGTTCGCAGCCATAATGAAATTAAGTCGAGCTTCTGGAGGAAGCAGGAAGTGAATGAGTGTCCGCTGTGTGGTGCTAACGAAGACTCACATGCATCCCGTAAGCCAAGATGGCGGAAGAATCATCGGACGAATAATCATGGCGGATTTTACGATTTCTGTGAAGTTTTGTTGATTTTCTGAAACAATAGAGACGACCCATGGGCTTACCTAATCTAACCCCGGAGGAAGAATACCTTCTTAAGAAGTTTGCTCAGTTGAAGAAAAAGGTAGACCTCGGTTTAATTTCTTGCTGTTGTATAGATTTATTCTGTACTTTTCTCTACCACATTACATTTGCTAGACAGTGTATTTTCTGTCTTGTTATTACAGAAGAAGGCGCTTCAAAAGTCGAAGGAAAAGACTGAAACTCCAGTTGTCGTCAAGACAGGAACAAAGCGGGGTCAGTGACGAAGCCAGCATTAAAGGCAAAGATTGTTTAGCAACAACAATATTACACATAAACACATTTAATTGGTTACAAGCCGTCATACTTTCTACAACAGCCACTTTCCTCTATCTTCAAGGTGGCTATTGTGGAGAGGCTTGACTGTATACTTGTGAATTTTTCAAGGGAGCATGATGCCCCCAGACTCGCAAAAAAGGGTGGTACTCATGTTGTCAGATGTGAGAGCTGGACTTGGGTTCCATAAACTGAAAGTTAACATGTGTAAAATATTTTCTTCAGATGCTCCAGCAGAAATTTCCCATGCTCCTGAAGATGCTAAAGAGATTGCTAAGAAGCTAATTGCTTCAGGGGTATGCAATATTGAATGTTGGGCTAAATTGCAGAATACATGGCCACATATTTGCATCTTATTGAATAAGAATAGCAACTATTGTTATATACCTCATTCTTCAAAGCACACCGACACATGTGAATGAAGTGGCCGGGTACTCTGCAGTTGCTCTGAATGTTGTAACTGTTAACAGTGTTCAGACTTTTAATGACCCCACACAAAATCTCTGCCATGATACCAAGCTAAGTCACGGTATTTTGAGTTACCGTTATTTTGGCCAAAAACAAAATTATCTTTAAATTGAAGGAAAACTGAAAATAATAGTTAACCAAGAAAGGAAAGCACCAAAGAGATATTAATAAACCATAATGGAGCAAGGATAGGGAAATTTAACATGGATTATAAACAAGGAACTTGAAACATTTAGGCCAAACTTTTCAAGATGCACAAACCCTGAGTTAGTTCCTTTAAATTGCTGCTGATGGTATTATTTTGAATTACACTATGAAGGTCCTAGAATCTACTGAATTGATCATTAATCTACCATCATGCCTCCCACATGGATAGCCAGTTTGATTTGTATAGCAAGTTGCTACTGTTTAACATTGTAGATGTAAGTTATGGTGCCCCCCTTGGATTTCTCATGATCTTACTACTGAAATTTTCGTGTTAAAAGGTTCTTGCTTCTTGGGAATAATTACAACGCTCATGTTTTGTCTGTAGGAAGTAAAGATTAAAAAAGATCCTGTCCATAGGGAATTTAAAAGGGCAAAAGGTGGAGAAAGAAGACCTAAGGTACTTTATCACATAATTAGCACTATTTTGTTTATCATGTTGCTAGTTCTATTAATGACTTCACTGGCAGTAGTTCTCATCAACCTCATTATCACTATTAATTAGTAACATGATTCAGATATTAAATATTACTTGCACAGAATTCCACTGTAGTTATGTAAATATTAAATAATTGTATTGATCTAAAATTTGATTGGTTACAAAACATTGTTTGATTTAAATTAGATAAATACTTTATGCTGAATCAAAAAGCTCAAGAGTCTGTAAAAAGGGGGAGGGATAAAGAAGATTTAGCAAGCTACATGAAGGTAAATAGGATATTTCCTTCAGGTGATTATGATGCTGTATCAAACTGTCCGGAGCGTGTATATGACAGTTAAATATTGAATCAAATGAAATTCATGGGTACAGCACAAGGCATGCCGCAAAAGGAAATTATCTTCGGAAAGAAGTTAAGTTGGAAATTTTCAAATGCTCTTTTGCGAGAACTGGAGCAAAATTATGGATTGAATCAAATTTCTCCTGGCTGGGGAGATATATCTTAACCAAGCTTTAAAAAACAAATTCACAGATTTTTATTTGAGACTCTTTAAGATAGAGATTACTATGTTGAAGTCAACACCCTGACTCAAATTCTTAAATTTAGTGCCTGATTAATTTCTACCCATCATTTAGCTTTTCTCTAGTTAGTCATAGCTCTGAGGTGTAGTATCAATCAGATAAGATGTGGCCCATCTAGATTAGCCTAGACTGCCTGCAGGTTCACACTGTTGTCATAGTCAAGTTTTTTTTTTTTTTTACTTAATTATTTTTAATAATAAAGTGTTTAGTGTAAAGTGTATAATTATATTTTTGTAAAATTGTAAATGTGTGAGTAATAGATAAGTTGTTGTTGTTGTTGTAGTTGAATCTGGTGGGAAGAACTTGTAAAAATATTTTCAGTTTTCGAGTTTAATTTATTAATTAAAATGAATTCACTTGTAGTTGTGTTATTATTGCTGTTGCCATAATTCATTATCTCCCAATTTCCTAACTTTAGGCATCCTTCTGAATGTTCTGCCTGGAGATTGTTTAATACAATATCTTGATTAGGTTGTATTTCACTAGTGTATAAATTAGTATACTTTTGTTCACTGCAGGAGTTTCAGCAGCAACTGCCATCAAACAGAAATGAGCAGCAGGTAAAGCACTATAAGGCTACTGAATGATTAATAATTATAATTTATTCATTATTTTACAACTGTCTATCATAAATTATGTAAAGAACATTTCATTTCAATGAAAATAGATTATTTACTAAGATCTTGGAGTACAAGGTAAAGGGAATAAACAGTGTTTTGTTGTCATTCCAGGCTCGTGCTGCAGCAATGAAGAATCTATATGAAAGGCAAGGGGATTTCATTGAACTTTTGGCATCTATTTTATAAAAGAGTAAAATTTTGTAATTGTGACTACAGACCTTACAGTGCTGTGAAGCTAATAATTTCTATTCCATTGCCAATGACAAACTGTTTAGAAACATCATTCTACAATACTACTGTAAGATTATTTAGTCATTTAGGTTCAACTGTTGTGAGTATTTATGTTTTGTTTTTGTATCTTGTTTTTATTTTTAGTTTTGTACCCTCCTCAGCTACACAGAACAGACGCTTTTCTGAAGGTATGAAGTATCTTTCTGTGATGTTTCAAATTTGTTCATCTGCACATCAATCTATCCTAAATTATCCTTCCTTCCTTCAGTCAGTCAGTCAGTCCATCTGTCCGTCCGTCTGTCCGTCCATCCAATGATCCATCTGTCTGTTAGTCTACCTTCCCACCCTCCTGCTTGTCTATTTGCCAGTCTGTTGGCCTGCTGTCTGCCTGCTCGTCTGCCTGACTATCTGTAATCAATGAGTCCTTGATGATAGAGTTTAAAACCATTCAATAATAAAGGGCAAAATGCGCTTAACTGGAATTACTCTCACCATTGGTAAATCTAAAAAGTAGATGTGTTGACTTGTCTGCACGCAAACATTTTTATTATAGAGTTTATTTTCAAAAAGCGCAAATTAATCTTATTAACAAAAAGTTTCATACAAGGTGAAAACATTTATTGAAAAATTGTTACTTCCAACTTTAGGGCAAGGGTCTAGTAGAAGAAGTTGGTCCGAAGAACCAAGAAAGGTACATTGTTTGTTTATTGTAAAATACAATTCTGCACTTGTTTATGTATTCTTTCTGTCCTATTTCGGACTGGGAAAAGAGAGGAAAAAAACTATGGAACACATGCTTTTACTACATAATGACTGCCTGCATATCTCATTTCAATAATGAAAAAAGAACTAACAATAAAATATTTTGTTTCCCCTAGGGTAACACCATCTATGTAAAAGGTTTTGGACTAACAGAAAAAATCCTTCAGGAATCATTTACTAAATATGGTGAGTTCATAGATGGACCATACGGAAAGGGTATGCCTTTTTATGTTAATATGGCTGGAAAGCATCTGCCAGCTCTGAAAAGTGTATCAAAGTTGATCCTTTCTGAAAAAGCGTCATGTTTAGGAGAACCAAAGTTTATTTCTGTTACTTTAAAATAAGCATTCAAAGTTTGATTTTGTTAGCATTTCATTCGTGTATTGCAGGTAAAGTGCAAAAAGTCAACTTTGAAAAGGACAAGAGGTAAATTAATTTATTTCAATAGTAATTAACTCACAAAGGTAATAGTGGTTTTACACTGGCTTAACTACCAATCTCAAAATAAAAATTCTCATTGACTACATTAGATTGTTACTATTTATTGCAAGGTGTGAGAATTTGGCAGTGCGTCAAAAAGACTATGTCTTCTTGCTTAGAAATGTTTTTATTTTATTCACCTTTGTTCCTGAAAAGGTAAATGTACTAATTTGTGGGGAGAAACTGATAGTTGATCACTGTTTTTTTTCCTTAGCCAAGGCTTTGTAACGTTTGATTCCTGTGAAGCAGCGGAAAAAGCAATTGATGAGGTAAATGGAACATAAATTGCAATTGCACTTCATACACTGGTACTTTCTAGTACCTGCCTGAAATGAAACTAGAAGATGTAGTGCATTTAAAAAGAGAATTATAAAGCTACCTAGAGTAATTTTTAATAAAGAAAATATTCAACGAGCAAACGAGACAAAAGATTTAAATTGTTTTTTTTCCATTGACCAGAAAGACCCATTCACATAATGTGAGTAAAGTCTGCATACAAGCCAAGTGGCCCATCAGGCTGGCGCTTATTTCATATTCCTGTAGCATGAAGCAACTAGGATTATTTCTACTCTCTCCCTGGATGGGATGCTAGTCCATCGCATGGTTACCCCACGTAATACCCATTTATACAGCAGGGTGGAGAGAGACACTGCGAGAGTAAAGTGTTTAGCTAAAGACTAGGTCATCGGGATAAGTTTTGCTCTGTCGGAAGGGGCGGGGGAGGGGGGTGGAGGAATAAGCACAGTTACATATAGAAGTGTTGATTTATGTGCTTCTGTGTCACTGTCAGATGAACGGCATGCTGGTTCTTGGTGTGCATATCAAAGTGGCTCTTTCAAGAAGACAACCAAACATGGGAGATACACAAGGGCATCATCGAAGACCCGGATTAGGAAGTAGAGGTAAGGAGTTATTTCACATTGACACAATTAAAAACTAAAATTACATAAAATCAGTCTGTCGGATGATCTGACATTTTGGTCATTTCACGTTGTTGATATGCACTGGACCAGGGACGACAAAGAACTGCATTACCCGTTGAGCGAAATCTTCGTTGCCTTTGTCACTGTTTGGCTAGTTTTACAACTAGGTTTGATTGAATGCTGTTGGGCGGTATAAAAACTGAAAAAGACAAGTTTATCTGACTTAAAAAAAGGTATAAAAATACTGAATTTGCCCAGGGAGTGAATTAACGACTTCAGATAACCGACAAGATCCCTAGGGCTTAGTTGCCTTTTTTTGCATCCCTCAGAGACATAACAAGTCTTAAGAAGACTTTTTACCATAGATTATATTTATTACAAGTTACAGTTATTTTCTTCAGACCTGTATTCAACTGTTGAGGCTTCCTGCTTTGTAATGTGAGGAGTGTAAAGTGTTATATTTAAGCCATAGAGGATGTTATTTTGTGTTCTGCAGATTCTAGAGGGCACAGTGCAGGCCTTCAGTCACAGGAGGCAAGGGAAATTGTTTCGTATGATGACCTGTAGATTACGACACGCCGTGAA